GTAGTAGCATAATCAGATTTGTCTTCTACCCTGGCTGCATTCTAGAGGGTGCTTTAAGGTAGGGCTAGAGGTGGGAGGATACTGGAATATTCCAGTCAGAAAGTGATTTGTGCTGTCACATCACAGCAGTGAAGATGGGGTAGCAGCAATGGCCGCAAGAAAGAATTCTGTGTGGAATAGAAGGAGTTGGTGGCCTCTTAGAAATGAGAGAGAGAGATGAAAAGTCTTAAGATGATGACTGGAGTTTTTGCTTTAGTGATAGATCATGGCCCTGTCAAGCTGGCTATGAACAGTAGGAGAAGGAAGTGGTTTTGAAGGAAGATACTAAATTTGAGCATGTGGAATTTCAGATGTTTGCAGCATCTATGTAGAGATGTCCCTCAGACCTGAGCTCAGGAAGGTGGTCTAACTAGAGATGGCGTAAGTCTTGTGTGAGTATGATGACGTAGGGAATGTGAAGAATGAGAAACAGACCAAGAATGGGAGAGGGGGAGCAACCAAGGGAGCGGAATTTCAAGGGAGGAGGCACATGCAGCAGCCAAGAGACCTTGTGGAATAGAGTGGAAAAGTGACTGTTTGATTTGGCAAGAGTTGAGGAATCTCAGGTCTTAGTAAATAGCCCGCCAAGGGAGGGGGCAGGGTCAGTTGACTGGATAAGGATACTGGGATAGTGGGGTGGGAAGCTGTCCGGAAGGAAATGAGTTAGTGAGAAAAGACTTGTGGAACATGATAGAGGCCCCAGGTGGTGTTAGAGAAGATCAATTTTAGTGGCATCCGTCTGCCCATTTGGGTGAGTTCTGCTTCTCTCCTCCCCCCTCCCTGCCACAATATCAAACCAAAACAAACAAAAAACTCCAGGTGCTATGTTACATCCTGAGACCCTAGTTCCAGGCATTGTTCTCATTCATGCCATTTATTTCTTGGGACACCATTAGAAAGAACACAGCTTCTAGTTCAAGTATATTCATGTCAGTCTGTGAGCAAAGATCAAATGTGAAAGGCCATCATAATGTTAAAATTATGTTAGGTGTTACTAAAACTGAGAATACTATGGCTCATTTGTCACCTGTGATTTATGTTGTCACAAAGATAATTGAATATACTTCACCATTATGATTAATGCAAAAGCTGGCTTTTTAGGTCCTCTTTAGAATGGCCTTTTGATAGATACTACATCTAGACTTCTGCAAGTAAAGAGAAGAGAACTGATGTATTTGGGCACCTAGTATGCACTTTACGTGGCATCTTATTTAACAGAAAATACAATCATTTTTATCTGTTTCTAACCATAAATTTATAATGGGAATACATTTGCTTCAAAGCACACACACCACATTTGCTTCAAAGCACAGTCACTGTCAGTAGACTCGTTTGGGGAGCTGATTTGAGAATCAGGGTGGTGAATTTGCCTGGATACATTCCGAATTCATACATGCTCAAAGCTGCCACCTTACCCAAGAGGTATTGTCCGTGCAGTATTCTATTATCACGTAATGGAATTGTGTAGTGTTTGGCCTGCTTAGCCCTTCCCATCGTGCCCTGGGAGTCTTCTCCTAATACCTTCCACCAACACACACGTTTGAACATGCGTGGGCGGAGTTAGGATGCAGTCTGTAACCAGTCAGAAATTTACTTGGTTGCAGTCCCGTATTATCATCATCTTTAGAGTGTGCCTGGGTTCCAGGCGTCTTTGCCCCCGGTATTTCTGTAGTTAAATATCAAGACTGTGACTGGGGTTTTTCCTGCACAGTTGTTACTTTGAGACAGGAAGATGATCGTCCCTTGATTTTATGTAGCAACTTTGTTAAAGTATTAGTTAAACAGTAGGCAGCTCTTGATATGTGAGAAATAGATACATATTGTGTCAGAATTCTTTTTAATTTCCAGAAATACTACTAATATGACATGAAGAGAAAAGTACGTGATCATCTATTTTTACTTTTAAAGTTAAGATATTATGTAAATTGAAAATCATGGGAAATCCTAAAAATTTTAACAAGGATATAATTATATCCAAACTTCATTTAAATTTTAAAGATTTCATAATTGTGGGAAAAGCTAAGCAAGTAACTGGAAATTGCAGTGTTAGTGTCCTGTCTGAGTCCCGAAAGACAGGTCTATTTTAAGGAGGTTTTTTTTTTCCCCCGTCATGTGTCCATTTATGGATATTAGTATTACAGAAATCAGAAGGGGGAGGGAACTGGTTTCTCCACAGAACTCTTCATTATTTATTTATTTCATTTGAAATATGTGTGCGTTGGAATCAAATCCACTTAAGTCCATTGGGTCATGTCTCTGGTATTTGAGTTGAGTGTGGTTATAAAAGAGAGTTAATGGCAGCATTCCTGCTCTGAAGGTCCTTGGTCCTACAGCTGGCTCACCGCTCACCCTCGGGGAAGGTCCATTATAAATGGTTTGAGTTCTGAGAAACTGCCATTTGGGGCAGCTAATTTGGACAAAGTCATCAGAATCAGTATTTATAAATTAATTTCTAGCAATCCCAAATATGGCCAGTTTTTGCTGTTGTTCATTTATTCTCACTCCTGTTTACTTTTCCTTACCTTTCATACCTTTATGCCTCCTCCTCTGATGCGCATAAACATTGCCCTGCTGTGAGGTCAGCGTGTCATTGCAGGGTCTGTTCTCTGTCAGTTGTTCTGTGTCTTTCCCACGTGTGGTTTCTTCCTGTTAGAGAGGCGATCTCTTATGCCCATCTTATTTGGAACACTGAGGGACACACATTGATACAAGCATGTATTCCCATAGCAACAAGAGATTGGCAGGAGGAAATCTGAAAAAGTGTTAGTCTCAGCTAAAATACGAGGAATTGGACTGCTTTGGAAGAGTTTGGAGACTAGGAGCTCTTGAAGTTAGATTAAGACCAGCTTTAGCAAGCATCATAGGGGGACAGGGGAAGGCACAGGATGGGGCTGTGGGAGCTGGTTGGATTTGACTAGTTCTGACTTGGGGCCAAACTGGGAAGGGGTAGTATTGTCACTGTCTCTGTGTACATTCATTGTTTTTCTCTAAATATAACATTGAATCAGACTCTCCAGGGCTGAAATTATTTATACACACAGTTATAGAAGGTTCTTAGGTGTAGCGAGGTTAGAGAACCATAGAGAATCACTGATACAGTGAAAATGATACACCACCAAAAATACTTAATAGTAACCACTAGAAAACAATTATCTGCTTTCATTGATGGACAGATGAATGCTTGGAGCAGGGATTGCCAACTCAAAGTATCAAAATCCTTGTGTTGGCAATAAAAAACATCTTAATTTAAAAAATAATCTAAGTTAGCAATATAGTGAAAGACTAATACACCAAAACTGAGTGAGGCAAATGCTACAGTAAAACGGTGGTTCAGTCTTGGGAAATTTATTAGTAATTTTCAATGTATCACTGTCAACCATATCACACCCAGTGCCCCTCATTTTCATTTTTTAGCAAATGTTTTGTACTTTCTTTGGTAACCCAAAACTGAAATGCATAAATAATTTAATTTTTCTAAATACAGAGTTTAAAATAACATTTATAATATCCTAACATTTATATTTTTATATAGATATTTATGTTTTAGTGTGGGTATGTTCTGCCTTCAATGTTTGCTCTGTTGTAGGACTTTTAGGAAATTGAAAAGTAGATATTCAGAGTATATTTTAAAAGGGCTATCACATCAGTTTGGAAAGAAAGAATTATTTGCAAATAATTGTAGAATAATTTGTTGCCCAGTATCCGTGTAAAACATGTGGCCATTCGTCACACGTATACACTAAAAGAAATAGCAGATGGATAAAAATTAGATACAAATAAAATTTTTTAGAAACGTTTAAAGAAAAAAAACAGATTGCTGGAATAGGGGGAATTTCAAATCTTAAAAAGGAATGGAGGAAATCCCAAAGGAGAAGGCTAGTGCATGTCATTGAAACAGAAAACTCAGACACACCAGATAAATTACCAAAAGCAGATCTCCTACTCATAAAACATTGGGAGCCATTGATTGAGCAAAGTTACTTCAATGGGGACAATCACATGTGTATGAATAATGTTGCAAGCATTCCATTTTTACATGACAGAAGCAAACATAGAAAATTTATCCAGCTGCCGTGGGTCACCCAGATGTCAGTATCCTTTACTCGTGGCAGAGCAGTGTTTGAGACCTGTGCGACCTTCAGGAGATCCTCTTCTTCTTGATCATTAATTGAGTCGTCAAGGAAAATAGTCCTTTTTGAGGGGAACCCTCAAATTAGCTTAAATGATCAAAAAAGTAATTGAGCCCTGTTTGGTGCACTGCCTACCATTTTCTTTTCCTTTCTTGTATGAATTGTGAGAGCTATTCTAATGCACATACATCTTACCATTTTGATGCTTTCCTGCGCCTGAAGTTACAAATAAAGAGTGAGGGTGGTAAATAGTGGAATTACAGCAAAGATACATTGCTCAGATTGTTGACGTAGTGCTGCCAGCCTTTTCCTTTTAGGAAAAACATAGCATTCTTTCCTCATTGTTAACTGCTCACTTTCTCAACATCCTTGTATCCAGTTTCTGAGTTTCTCGGATCTTTGATTTTCGTATTGCCTCTTGCCTGCTTTTTTTGGCCAGCTCACTGCTGATCAACACCTCCCTCCTGGAGTCAGGAGGAGAAGTGAAAGGCTCCAGAACCGACCTGGTCCTATTGGCTCGTTGTTACCAGCTCTAATGAAAAGTTCCACAGGAAGGATGGAAATTGTGGTGTTAAATGAAGTTTGGGGGTGGTCTGTGTGGTTTTAGTCTCCATAATATTCCTATGTTCCACAATTGAACTTGACCATATCACTATTGAGAAATTAGATACACGAGAGAGTGTACCAGGATAGGAGCTAAGACACTTGCTTTGTGTCCTAACTAGGTCACTGAACTAGCCACGTCTTTCTCTACTCCTTACTTGACCCGTGTGTCCTGGCTGGGTTGAGTCATCTCCCACGTGGCTTAGCATTCTGTGGTTCCCCCCAAAGGTCATGAAACGAGTGCGCACCGAGCAGATTCAGATGGCAGTGTCCTGCTACCTCAAACGCCGGCAGTACGTGGACTCCGACGGTCCCCTGAAGCAAGGACTGCGGCTCTCACAGACTGCTGAGGAGATGGCAGCCAACCTCACAGGTAACACGGGGATTCCTCGGGGAGGGCAGGCTGGAGCAGAACTCAGGCAGAGGTCCGTGAGAAGTTACTTGCCCTCCTCTTCTGGAGAGACCTGCACCACATGGTGGTGCCGGCCCTCAGAGATGCTATCTTTCCTTCAAAACCACTTCTAAAAGCCTCCTGTCGTAACCCATCCTGCCTTGGAATTCTCTGCTTTTCTCTGTATCTGATGTTAATGCGCAGCTTTTCCCCTCTGTGAGCTAGTATGCTACAAGAGCCGGAGGGCCAGGGTTTCCATCGTGTCCCTCCCTGTAGCCCGGAGCCTTGCCCACAGAAGTCAGGTTTGCTGGGTGAACAGTACTTTGGGATCAGTGGTCGGAAAGATTGGCATCCTAGATATGTTCCTGAGGTTTTTAAGATTTGTTTTTGGCCTTTGTTTTGAAATCAGATTCTTTTTTAGAAAAAATGTGTCTTAAATCTATTTAGAACGGCAAATAGTTATTACTTCGCTATGTTGTGAGTTCAGTTTTTACATGATATAATTTTCTTCTGAGTACTGGATCTGAGTACTGGAGACTTTGCCAAAAACAGATGGCCACAGTGCTTTTCAGGTGACTGGGAGCTGCTTTAATGGCTGTGTGTGGAGTTCAACATCACAGAGCTTTCTCCAGCTTGGCCCTGGGTCCTCTTACCTGCTCTGACCAGACTCTCCTCTCTCTCTCATTCCCGTACTTCCTTCTGCTCTTCTTCTTCCATCACCACCTGATTCATCCCGTGATGGTTCCAGCCCCCCATACTGGTAGCAGCAGCTCCCTCTGCTCCCCCTTATTGTCTTCAGGGTCATGAACCCAGACCCTTCACACTCTAAGGGTGTATTGCCATTGCCATTGCCATAGGAAAAGAATGATGGGACAGTAAAAACTGAGGATGTCCTCAAAGGTGCTTTCTGACTCCCCCTGTGACAGTAGAAGTAGCCCAGTCAGGCATCTGCCTTCTTATTCCTTTTTTTTTGGGGGGGGGTATTTATTTGAAAGAGAGACACACACAGAGAGAGGGAACACAAGCAGGGGGAGTAGGAGAGGGAGAAACAGGCCTTCTGCCCAGCCGGGAACCCGATGTGGGCCTCAATCCCAGGACCTTGGGATCATGACCTGAGCTGAAGGCAGACGCACATCTTCCTGCTTCAGGGTGTTGCTCTGAGTTCTCACAGGGCACATTGACTTCTCAGCTGCATCCCCCCTTTCTGTACATGTTATGTTGTGGCTACCTCAGTCCTGCAGCATTAATTTCATTCCTACCTCCGTATTCTGTCTTCTGAAATGTGTTAATGTTTCATCCAGATTATGAAAGATGGCTTCCTCGGTCCCCAGCCACCTTTCCCCAATGCCCCCTTACCCTCGCAGAAAGGGTAAGGGAATGTTGTTTTTCTTTTTAGAAAGCATAAACTCACAAAATGGACATGAAATGCATGTTTACATACTGTATATCTGAATATTGAGACCCTGCCTTCTTCCTATGTCCCGCTCCCTAGAACACTAGTAGCTAGTCACAAATCCATCAGAAAGGTAATTACAGGTTCTTCCCTGGTGACTCTGACCTGCCCAAGAGAGAAGACCTCTAAAGACATTGACATTGGGAAATGGCCCATGCAGGTCATGCTGGGTGATAAACACACAGAGTTTCCATCAGCTCTGTAGTACCTCACCTTCAGCACTTAAGAACCCAGCGTACTCACGGTGAGGAGGAGATGTGGCAGAATCAGTGAGAAGCAACTTGAGTGAAGCAAGGAGCCAAGAGAAGAAAACTTCAGAAATACCATCATTGATACCCTTGAGCCAAGAAGAAAACGCTATTTTTAAAGAAACAAAGAACATTGGGAGAACAGCAAGAAATGTGGTAAATTTAAGTAAATGGTAGTAAAGATGAGAAATCAGTAGAAAGGTTGAAAGTTGAGGAAGTGGATCAGTTCAGGGATCTAATCTTTCCATAGTAGGGGTCCCAGGCCACGTGGCTGATTCAATGGGTAGAGCGTGTGACTGTTGATCTCTGGTTGTGAGTTTGAGCCCCATATTGGGCCTAGAGCCTTCTTGAAGAAGAAGAAGAAAAAGCAGGAGGAGGAGGAGAAATAGAAAGGGTCCCTGAGAGAGAAAACAGTGAACCAACAAATGTCTCAGAACCAAGAGACATGAATTTTTGTTGAAAGGGCCTGCCTGAGTGTCCATGGTTTGAAAATAGACCCACAACGATTCACATTATTGTAGGATGTCAAAACATGGGGTCAGATGCTTTGTATGTCCCTTGTGAACTTATGTACATGTCCTTTCTCATTCAACTTAATCCTGTGCTTTATACCTTTTCATTCCTCCACTGTCATTTCATTTTGGGTATCAGGAAGGAGAGGGGATACGTGTCATCACTCGGCCGTATTTAACTAGAAGTCCCACCATATTTTGAAAGTCTACTGAAATGTCCGTTGCTACTGATGCATATACTTAACACCATGTTCCATCCATCTTGCCACATCTTGGGTTAATAATTGTGTTTCCCATCCCCACCTTATGTATCTTTTCCTCCTCAGTCCAATCAGAATCCGGTTGTGCCAACATAGTGTCTGCAGCCCCTTGCCAGGCAGAACCCCAGCAGTATGAAGTACAGTTTGGACGACTACGGAATTTTCTCACTGGTAAGTGCTCAGCACTAAGAACTTCCTCTTATCAAGAAGGAATCATGCAAGTTTCCCTCAGAACCTACTAGATTCCAGGTCGGGTGTACTGAGTGCAGATTCAAAGGTAGTTGAGCACAGTCCTTGCATTAAATCTTACGATCCATTGGAACTCCTAGGAGAGTTAATTCACGAGTTACAGTTGGTGAGGGCTAGGGCTCCCGGTGTTTTGTCCGCAGAATGCCCACAGCTTGCATTGAAGTAGTGAAAGTTAAAACAGCCATGTAGAGAAACATCCTTAAATGCAGAGAATTTGAAATGTACATTGAAATCGCTATTAATAATATAGTACATCTCAAAATGACCTTTTCCTCTTATTTCCCAAAGTGTGAGACCTAGTCCTCATGAATCAGCAAGACAAAAAAAATTAGAAGTAGGTTAGTCCAGTTTGTGGCTGGTGTAATGACCACTAAAACACAAAATCAATAGATAGGGGTTCTAGTCAGTTCTTCTATCTCACTGTATGACTTTTTAAATGAATTGCTTTAAAAAAACCTAGTTGTTTAGCATCTCTGGGGCCCTGGTTTCTTCCCCGGTGAAATAGGTGATTCAAAGGTACAAGCAAGTGATTTCATCCAGGCCTGGGGTAGTGGATTATAATTTTAATGTTGGAAAGATTATTGCAGTGAGGGAGATCATGTTGATTCAGATTATTAATCAAAGTCCTTTGTTGAGTGCTTTCTTCATACAAAACACCTTGAAGTGTAAGAAATACAAAACTTTCTGTGCCCTCAAAGGGTTGAGAGTAATTAGCAGGTACTGGTTAGTGGTAAATTGTAGTTAAAACACTTTGAGGTTATTTCATTTTTCTTTTTTTATTTGAAAAAATCCTCAGGGTAATAGTAAGTTTTAATGGTAAAGATGTATGTGACACACACACACACACAGACACACACACACACACACACACAAAGATGCATATAAGGCAATCAGTGTATAAACCACAATAATATACTCAGTCTTATGTCACTTAAGGTTGTCCTGATTTTACGTGACCCTGATAATGATCTGAATTTTTAAAAGGAAAAATTCCACATTTTCTGTATTCTAGGGAAAATGGCCAAAATGTTAAGAAGTAAGAAATAATGGTTACAAAATAAAAACGTAGAGAGGGTTATCTTATCTGCCTCAGAGTTACTGAAGTGATGGAATTCATATGAATCATCTGTTAAATTGTCATAAAAATGAAAAAATCATGAAGCTTAAAGGTTTAGCAAAAAAGAGTCTATTATATTTAAACTGAAAAGAAGGAAGGTCTGTTAAGATCCTCATATCATATGAATGTTAAATATCTCAGAACAGTGATCAGCTGCTTTCCATCTCCAGTAAGGATAAAAAAAGAAAAATTGAATTTATGGAAAATCTTTCATTTAGAGGTAAGCAAGAACTTGAAGATAACGCATTATGTAATCACTGGCATTGGTGTTTGAGGCTTTAGGCAGTTTTTATTTCAAAATTTTTATCTTTAGATCTTTAGAAATCTTTAGGAAGCCATTTTACTCTGTTTTTAAAATATAACTATGTTCATTTCCCCATGATCAATTCTTCTCTGCATGCTAGAGTTGAGGAAGCCGGTTTAAGAAGGAATGCCTGGCTTCTCTCACCCTCTCTCTTTCATTCACTCCGCCGGTGTTTATGTCAGGCACTGACTGTTTGCTGGGCTAGATGTTGCAATAGAGCATATTGATGCAGAGCCTGCTGCCTAATGAGGGAAACGGACAGACACATAAAGCTCCAGTGTATCATAGTAGTGATGCCCTCCATGTACTCATGCCATGAGTTGGCTCTTGTCATAGGCATGACTAACTTTCATTACGAATGACACCCATGACTGTAGTGACATACCAGTTTTTGTTTATATTTTTTTAATTTTTTTAAAGATTTTATTTATTTATTTGACAGAGAGAGAGAGAGATCACAAGTAGGCAGAGAGGCAGGCGGAGAAAGGGGTGGGAGCAGGCTCCCTGCTGAGCAGAGAGCCCAATGCGGGGCTCGATCCCAGGACCCTAAGATCATGACCTGAGCCGAAGGCAGAGGCTTAACCCACTGAGCCACCCAGGTGCCCCTTATATTTTTTAATCAGTGAAGCATAGTTGTTATAAAATAGACTCGTTGGAATAATTTATTACAGAACTGTGATTACTTTTCACAATGAAAGATTAATACATTTAATTGATCACTAATGTGATTTATCCTGGTGCAGAGTTTTCTGCTTAAATTTATTTCTTAAGGGGGCACCTGGATGGCTCAGTGGGTTAAGCGTATGCCTTCAGCTCAGGTCATGATCTCAGGTCCTGGGATCCAGCCCTGTGTTGGGCTTCCTGCTCCACAGGGAGTCTGCTTCTCCCTTTCTCTCTGCTTCTGTCCCTGCTCATGCTCTCTCTTTTACTCACGCTATCTCTAAAATAAATTTTTAAAACATCTTTTAAAAAAATTTTATTTCTTTGGGTTCTTGCCATTTTTCTTGAATATTTAGTAAAACTCTTATTGTAAAATAGCTGTTGACTCCTTGAGTCTCATGATGCCAGTTTTTTCCTAATATATGGTACTTTCTTTAGTCTTCTCTCATAATTTCCTCCCCTCAGAACTTCAAATTTCAATGAATGGTAATCTATTAACCTTCTCCTTTGTCTTGTTTCAAAACTGAGGAAGTTGTCTGCTATAATTCTTTAATCCACTGGTCCCAGATTATTTAGAGGGGTAAATAAATATTTTGTGGGGTTTTTTATTCGGGTTTTTTTTTTTAATTTATTTATTAATTTATTTTTTAGCAAGGTTTATTAAGGGATAGCAAAGTGATAGCCCAAAGCTCCCGAGGAGGGAGGGGACCCAAAAAGGTTGCCCTGTTTTTGTGTTTTTACAGACTGCTTTTCCTAGATTATTTTTCCCTATCCTCAGGCCAAGGAAGAGCAGTCAGGCAAGTCAAATGAACAAGAATTTACTGAGCACCAAGATAAAGTGTAAGATACAGTCATTAGTCTAAATAGGGAGCAATCTAAGAAGGCTAGAAGTAAAAGTTTTTAAATAAAGTTCAGATACGGTGGAAGAGTTTTCATAGGCCAGGATGAGATCAGTGCTGAAGTTTGCATGAGAGGAACTGTGGAATGAAAGGAGAACATGGTTTGGATGGAGTATCAGAGAAGGCCCTACTGAGTTTCAGGAGGAGTTGGAATTTAAGTCAGTGTTTGGGTTGGATTTCAGTAAACTGGGGAAGAGAAGTAGGAAGATTCGGGGTGTGTGGAAAGACATGAGCAAAAAGGCAGAGATTCTTTGTGCAGGAGCAGCGAAGGAACCACCTTGTTGAGAATGGGGTTTTCAGATTGGAGATAAAGCAGCCGCTCTAGAGCCAGATTAAGGAGCGACCTGACCGTCAGGCCTAGGAGACAAGTCTGAAAGCAGTGGGATGACCAGGAGGTCGGCCCAAAGTCCACTGCAGTACTGGAAAAGCGAGCTGGAAAGGACCACAGCTCAGCAGTGCTGTGCCCGTGGAAAGCCAGGTCTTGACTGTGTACTTAAAATTCCCAAGATAGACTCTCCACGGCTCAGGATTACAGGGGGAAGAGTTGAGGATAACTCGGGCTCTGTGACAAATGGGGGCTTAAGCTACATTGAGCAGAAATAAATCACGTTTTTTACATCATTTTGATGGCGGTCTCCTACTGTATCACTTGCAGTAGGAGATTGGAGGCTAGTATTTAAGAGAAAGAGGTATCTTGTGATGAAGAACTCAGTATCAGCTTCATGGAGGCACAAATGCCAGTTTTAGGAGATAATTATCTCAAAGGAAGATACGAGGAAAATAAGAGCATCTCAGGCTGTAGTACCTTAACTTTGTCTTTCCTCTGTAAGTTATCTGTGGGTGAGAGATTCTGTGAGCTCACCTGTTGCTCTGGGCCCTTTTCTTCAGGAGGCATAGTAGGAAGAGCATACACTTTGGAATCAAGCTGGGTGTGAGTCTGTGACCCTTAGACACTACAATAGTTGTCAGGTGTCTGGATCACAGGAAGCACACACTCCGTGTTTGTCCTTGAAACGAAGTGAGTAGTTGAGGGATGAGAGGAGGAAGAGGGGCCCGAAAGGGTAAAGAGTCGAGCTGGGTAGTATGACGTTTCAGAGCAAAAGACAGGGGTGTGGGGTTAATGGGGTCTATCCTACAGAGACAGGCAGGAGAACAAGGATGGACAAGCTTGCTTTCCATTTAACATAGTGTCCTTTTCACTACTAAATTCCGCAAACTCTGTGACAAACTTCCTCTTACACACCAGCAGAGTGTGGCACTAAGTAGGAGTTTGTTACATAGCCGGTGGCTAGATGGATAGGAAGAAGGAAAAGTGCGCTTTTCAGAGGACGTTTTACATTTGAAATCAGAAAAAAATGTATTTCAAGCAAGTACACTCTCAGTAAAATATAAAACATATGTTATAATTTCAAGGAAACGAGATTAAAAATGAGAATTAAGTCTTATGTGAGTCTTTGTTCCACATAATGAATATGTTGATCAAAATTTTATTTTATACCTGATATGCTGTCCTCTTCAGACAAGAGAGAACAATTAAACAATTTTGAAACTGAGCTGAAACAACAGTGAATTACAGTAAGTTTAAAGTAATGCAGCCCTATCTCTTGGTGGCTGGGTTGCTTTTTTTTGTTTTGGGTTTTTTTTTCCCTAGACTTATTAAACTAAAATGCCTCTTATTTTGAAAAAGAAGCCTAAAACTAAGATTTTAAGGAATTGCGAACAATCCTTCATTGTGTAATAGGTAAGGGTTGAGTTTTGGGTTGAGTTTTGTTTTTTTTCATTAGTATTTTAGGGAAAAATTTTTTCCAAAGGTCTTCCAAAGAATTATAGCATTTAAGGAAATACCAAAATCTGAATTAGTCAGGATCAGCCGTAGAAACAGAACCAATAAGATGTATAAACAGAAAGATATATTTTAAGGAATTGACTCATGTACTTATGGAAACTAGCAAGTCCAAAATCTGCAAGACAGGAAGGCAGGCTGGAGACCCAGGGAAGAGCTGCAGCTCAAACCCAAAGTCAGTCTGCTGGCAGAATTCCCTCTTCTGGGGACGTCGGCCTTTGCTCTCAGAAGGCCTTCAGCTGATTGGACAAGGCTCACCCACATTATGGAGGGTAATCTGCTTTCCTCAAAGTCTGCTGATTTACCTTAATCTCACCTAAAAAAATACCTTCACAGAAGCATTTAGATAATGTTTTAACCAAGTATCTGGGCACTGTGGCCCAGCCAAGATGACACAGAATTAACCACCCCCAAGTCTACCCCCAGTTCAATTTGGTACCCATCTCTATCCCCTTAAACCATACTTAATCTCCAGATAACAATTAACAAGGTCTTTAATCCACCTAACATGGTATAGCTCTCCTGGATACAACCAAAAATGCATGAATCCCTTCCCCAGAAGAGAAAGCAAAGTCCTTAGGTAATTTACTCTTCTCCTTGATGTCCTATAACTCAAATACTATGGTGTAGCATTAACAGAACTTAAGTACTCTGAAACAAAGTAAGGGTAACTTATGTACCTGATAAGGGAACAAAGAAGGAAGGAAACAAAGATATGTATAAATATATACACACACATATTCATAATAAAATAGGGAGGGTAACTTAGATAATTAGTCTTAGTTTCTGTAACTAGTCACATACTTCATAGCTGGTATTTAACTACTTTCTTCCACTACCCATTCTGCATTTTCTTTGCCTTCAGCAAACACCTCAGCTGGTCCTGGTTCTTTACTGGATAGGATGACCCAAACCTCATTTCTTTCTTTCTTTCTTTTCCTTTTTTCTCTAAATCTCATTTCTGAAGAGTCTTAGGCCGTTACTGGTCCTACCTGGATTCGATTTTTATAGCTTTCCAGTAACCTTAACCACAGGGCAGAATGATACAAAGAGATGCCCTGGTGGATCTCCTTTAGTGCAGACATATTCTGCCTTACCTGCTACCTTACTGGACTAGCAGTCCAGTGTCCCCTTGGTAGTCAGGATCAGTCACCCCAGCCAGCACCGTAACTCCCTTCTTGGCCTATTAAAAACATGAGGAGCCCAAAGTGGCCAGGTAACAGTCTTAAGTTTATTGGAATCATCATTGTAATTTAAGTTCATTTTCTAAATATGTCTTTGAGTAGGGACACATTTATTCTAAAATACACATATTATGCAATTAATTCACCTGCGATAAAGTGAAGTAGGGTATTAGGCAGAGAAAGCATGCTGGGGTCATTCATCATCAAATTGGGGAGGCAAGGTTCCCTAATGTAATGTTCCTGATTTTGAGCCATAGTTGGATTCTTTTTCATGAAGGGAAAAAAAAAAAAATGCTAGCAGAAGTACTAAGTGCTTCTTAAAGCATTTTGATATTAATTTACTTAAATATGCACAAACGTTACGTAAGATATAAAATGTTTATGGTTACTGTATTTCTGTATGAAACCGAAACTCACTTACAAGTAAAGTACAAGCAAAACCACAAAAGCAATAAAGTTCAAATTAACAGCAAGTGAATATAATGGATAGATTTTGCCAGAACTCGCCCGCTGCTCCCCAGGGTCATGGGGGCAGTCCCGATGGCTGTGACACAGCCTACTCTGTCTTCAGCTTCCCAAGGCGCTTGTGCCCTGCGTCAGCCCTGCTGCCCCTGCTGGCCTCTGGTGGAGTGGCTGCTGGACCTCTGTGCCATCACAGCTCCCCCCGCCCTCACATACTTGGGCGTCACATACACCTCTGTGCTTTTCTCACTCGCCTGTGGCAGCTAAAGCTGGACACTCGGGAACATCCTCAGTCACGTAGTCATGTGGTGTTCAAGTCTCAAATCAGTAAATGGCTTAGTCTTAATGACATGAATATGTCTCATTTGTAATTATCACTGCAGAAGAGTAGTTTTACTTTTTAGCCAACCTAATCAAAAGGATTACGCTGGCAGATAGGGAATGGTTTTGGGTGAGTGTTGTCATCTCAGTGTTAGGGCGTGCCAGCCTGGGTAGCTAGGCATGTCCATGAACGCACTAAAATAAGTACTCTGATAATCCTGTTGGATGATGGAGGCCGAAAGTAATCACAAAACAAAATAGAGCACTAAAATCGTATGTCAGTCCTTGCTTCATGGCCAGCCGAATAATTATGAATATGCCTTTGTTCATTGTTTCTAGAAATTATCCCACCAAAAAGTTTCTGTGAAGAACTCACAGTCTCCCAAGAATAGAACTACGGACCCTCAGAGGTCTGTGCCTCCCAATCTGAGAAACACTAATGTGTTGGGGAGAAACCGTGAACCTTGAAGACCTGGGGACAAGCCGTGAAGTGTTGGGAGAACTTAGGCAAGTCAGCTGCCCTCTCTGGGCATCAAATTCCCGATCTGTGGCCGACTTCCGGGCCCGGTTTGCTGGACTTCAGAGTCCCTGCTCTTCCTTCTTCGGTCAAAAGGCTTGGACTTCGAGTGTCCACAATTTTACGTTGGGCTTCTCTTTCGATCAGCAGTACTGACCAGAATGCGTGTGTGATGGTGGGCTCCCCAGGGGGGCCACATTATTCTTTGAAATTGTACCGATGATAAAGCCCTCACTTTTTTCCGTTATAGATTCTGATTCCCAGCATAGCCACGAAGTGATGCCTCTCCTCTATCCTCTCTTTGTCTACCTCCATCTCAACCTGGTCCAGAACAGCGCGAAGAGCACAGTGGAAAGTTTTTACAGCCGCTTCCACGGGATGTTTCTGCAGAACGCTAGCCAGAAGGATGTCATTGAGCAGCTCCAGGCCACTCAAACCATCCAGGACATCCTGTCTAACTTCAAGCTTCGAGCATTCCTAGATAACAAGTACGTGGTCCGTCTCCAGGAAGACAGCTACGACTACCTTATCCGCTACCTCCAAAGTGACAACAACACCGCCCTGTGCAAAGTCCTCACCTTACATATCCATCTTGACGTGCAGCCCGCCAAGAGAACAGATTACCAGCTCTACGCCAGCGGCAGCTCCTCTCGGAGTGAGGGCGGCGGCCTCGAGCCCACCGACATGCCTGCCCCTATTCTACAGAACGAGGCTGCCCTGGAGGTCTTGCAGGAGAGCATCAAGCGTGTCAAGGATGGCCCTCCCTCCCTCACCACCATCTGTTTCTATGCCTTCTATAACACAGAGCAGCTGTTGAACACTGCAGAAATCTCCCCAGATAGCAAGCTGCTTGCTGCGGGGTTTGACAACTCCTGTATAAAACTGTGGAGTTTACGATCCAAGAAGTTAAAATCAGAACCCCATCCAGTAGACGTGTCCCGCATCCACTTGGCTTGTGACATTCTGGAGGAGGAGGTATGAATATCATTTTTCTTCCCTACACCTGCCTTACTAATTTGCTTAGAATTCTTACCAAACATGACAGCTCTTGTGGAGAATGGACTTCATTATTTCCTCCATCGTATAGCTAAGGCCAGACTAATTCCCATGTAACCTGTAACCGCTGAATTCCTGCTCATGCCTAACCTTGGAAGAGATGAAAACTATGTTTAACAACATTAACGGAACATTATTAATGATTGGTCAGTCTTTATTACTGTCTGAATATGGATAACACTGCTAAGCCTAATTAAAGACCTTTAGCTAATATTAAGATTTACACTAAGTGTGTGTGTGGTGTGTGTGTGTGTGTGTGTGTGTGTGTGAACATTTATGCAAATATAAACAATTAGAAGTAGCATTACTGGGTCAGAGGATCTGCATTTTAAATTGTGATGAGTATGGTCACTTGCCAGTCTCATCAGCAGTAACGAGAACACTGGTTGCTCTTACCCTCACCAGCACAGGGTGCTACCGGCCTGAGGCCAGGGCACGTCCTCTGGCTTCATGTGCTCCAGGGTGTTGTTCCCCAGCCCCATTTTGAAAAGTGCACAGGAGGTGTAGTTGCTATTTTATCCATCAGTCAGTGTAATGATTTGGGGTGGTTACTGAAAAGGGCAGGCTGAGTGGCCTGCGTTTCAGGTCACAAAGTTGCACAAAGAGAGAGAAAATTGAACTTCACAGAGTTAACTTCCCCTGCAAGTGGCCCCACGAAAGCTGAGAGCGAGAATACTTTTGTCATCTCGCCACTGAAATTCAGGTAGCTCTGCCTCAGGTTACTTACAATGGAAAATTATTTGCACGGGATAGAGAAATTAAGGAGTCAAAACAAAACAAACAAAAAACCAACATTCAAGTTAATTTCCACAGGTGACCAGGATACCAAGAATATTAGATACACAAAATAAGCCCTTTTTCCCAATTCTTGTTTTCTTAGTCACCTTCCAGTAGCATGGTCCTTGAATTTTTGTTTCTTGCGACTCTGACAATATAATTAGAGGAGTTTGTTGTGATGAGTAAAAGGCCTATATTCCAATGTACACACTTTGATTTCTAGGATTTTTTAGTACCCTCCAAAATTTTTTTATTGCACATATATTTGAGTTTTAAAATTTGTTTTCCTGGGAGACAATTCTAGCCTGCTGAGCGTTCTTCACATACGACTGAAGGACACTGCCATCATTCATTTACGACTTTCTGTAAATACAAGGAAAAATATTTTTCCACTGACTTTATTCCACTGACACTGTGTTTGGAGATTATTCTCAGCATTACAAATTAATATAAAGGAAGATAGCAAAGACAGAAAGGTAGATACAAAGAGGGACAGAACGTTAGACTAAAAAAAAAAAAAGTTTAAGATTCTATCTACCCTGGCTACCACTGAAAATTAGCTCTGTGACTTATTCTATGAAGATTTCCAGACTTTGGAAGGTATGCATTTGAAGACCCAGAAGTAAAGAATAACATGATGGATTCCAGGAAGTGAGAGAAATTCAAGCAGGCTAGAGTTGGGAGGGCTTACATAGGGAGCAGCTCGGCACAAGCTGTACTCTGGATTATGATGGCCTGAGCTAGGGGAGTGGCAGCAGGAAGAGAGTGCCCAGACTGGGGAGACAAGAGCTCTGGTGGGAGGTGCTGTTCCACTCCAAAAGAAGATACTTTGTTTAAGTATCTTCCCTGTGTAGTCCCAGTTGTCCACATTGAAAGTACTGTGGATTCTGCTACAGTATAAAGGTACTGCTTTCCTTGTGAACAAACTTTTGTTTCATTTTAGAACTAAAGTTGCGATCTTCTCATGTTGTCTAGGAGTTTCCTGTTTGGGATTTCTACATCCCCCACCCATTTTGTCATAGCAGTTTACAGAAGTTTTTGTTGTTGATGGAGTTCGTGGGGGTGGATTTTGGTTTTGGGGGGTGTTCTTTGGGTTTTTTGATTTGGGGTTTTTTTGGTGGGAGGGTGGGGGGTGTGGTTGTTGTTCCTGATAAGGAACGTTTTGAGGAAAAGCAAGGTACAAATCAGTTCTGGTAGTTAGTTTTTAATATTTCTTCAATGAGAACATGGACTTCTTGTTTTCCTTATAGAATTCACAATTAAAATAGAAACTCTCAGTGCAAAGGTCACAAATTCACATACCTGTAGAATCCAAGCAGGTAACTGTCAACATTTAAAGCTCCCTGGATCAGAGAGATGGTAGGAAGTATGAAACCTCACGAAAACCCAACTAAAAAGCCAGTTTGCAACCTCTACCTTAATCTTCCTGAAGGAATAGTGGCCGCATAAATTAGTGGATAAAATGTTTTACTAGTGGGTATTTAAAATATTGACCAGACCCACGGATTCCATTTCTAGGTATCTACCCAAAGGAATTGAAAACCTAAGTCCCCACAAAAACTTGTATATGAATGCTCATAACATCATTATTCATAATTGCCAAAAAGCGGGAGCAGCCTAAGTGTCAGCCAGCTGATTAAGAGATAAACAAAATGGGATATATCCGTGCAATAGAATATTGTTCTGCCATAGAAAGGAGTGCATCCACATGAGACATGCTGTGTTGTGGATGAGCCTTGTAAACATTGTGCTAACTAAGTAAAAGAAGCCAGCCACAAAGGCCCTCATGCTATATGGTTCCATTTCTAGGAAATATCCAGAATATCCATAGAAACAGAAAGCAGATTGATGGTGACCAGGGGCTGGGGACAGGGAAATAGGCAGTGACTAATGGGTAAAAGTTTCTTTTTTGAGGTGATGAAAATGTTCTGTAGTAGAGAATTGGTGATAGTTGCATAACTCTGTGCGTATACTAAAAGCCATTGAATTATACTTCCAAAAAGAGTGAATTTTATAGTACATGAATTATATCTCCGTTTTAGAAAGTCAAAAACAGTAATCAAAAGCTTCTATGAGGGCATAAAATTTTCTCTTTTTATTAAGCCAAATAAAACTGGATCTACAGCACTGCCCTATAGCTTCTGATATCTGCAACTTAAAAATATTTTTAGATTAACCTTTGAAATGCTATTAATTGGCATAGCAGTGCCCCTCCTCCTGCTAGGACCAGTAGCCCCCATCCTGTCTGAGACCCTCCGTCCTCTGTTCCACACTAAATGGAGTTGGAAATGAAGTCCAACTTTTACCATCGTTGATTGGTAACTATGTATTTTTAATATGTGAGCAACATGGCAAAACCACAGATACCAAATCAAGGATTTGCTCTTCGTTTCAGGTATGTGTACATGGTCACCCTCATCACTGCCCGCCTCCCGCCCTCCTAGGCCAGCACTACAGCACCAGTATTGGGTTCATGTACTGGCTAGTGAGCCTTCCCCCAATCCAGCAGTCTTTAAGTTTCAAAAGTAAAGAAGTCAGTGTTGTATAATATTCAGTTCTGTGATTTGTATATAAAACGGTCATGTAGGTCTGTGCTGGCCTAGAGGAATATAATGTGAGCCATGTTTGTAACTTTGATTTTTCTAGTAGCCACATGGAAAAAGTAAAAAGAAATAGTCAATTAATTTTAACAATGTATTTTATTCAATCCAGTATGGCCAAAATATTATTTCAACATGTAAGCAATATTAAAAGATTATTAATGAAATCTGTTACATTCTCCTTTTTTGTCCTCAGTCTTGGAAATCTGGTGTGTTTTACACTTACAGCACATGTTCAGCTCAGCTAGCCAGTAGCCGCCTTTTCTAGTTCAGGCCACCGTCATCCCTCCCGGAGAGAGCAACCCCCCACTTGCTTCCAAGTCTTAACCCAGCCCCAAGCCCAGCCAGATTTAATTTCTTTCAGTTCCATTGGAAGCTAATGTTGGGAGAACAGCCCAAGGCTACATTTCAGACCCCAAAAAGTACCCTGGAGCTGAACTGAGGCACTCTGAAGCCCCTAGTCCAGGAGCAGACATCTGTAACAAGTCTGAGATTTTTAGGGCCTCCATAGTATAAAGCGGGGCTTAGCAAACTATGGCACAGGGATACAGAAGATAAGCTTTGAAAGTCTTTTTATACTTATTTTTCTTATTATTTTTAAACTTCTTTGTGCATGTTGTATAATGTACATAGTATGATTTATCATGACACGAATATACTTGACAAATTAAAAATTCGTGTTTGGGATGTATGCCCATTACTCGAGGGCGTTCAGTCAGTTGTAGGGAATTTGGGGTTTTGCCCTGTGAGCATGGAAGGAAGGAAAGAGAGAATCTGGGGCTGGGCATGTGTGAATCAGCTGCTTGTTCAGAGTTTTAGCTCTGTGCTGAGGCCCTTGTGGGACTGGGTTGAGCCACAGAAGAAAATGTGGCTGCGTTATTTTAAGCTGTGGTCCTGGCAAAGAGCTGATAGCGATAGCCAGCATGAATGCTCTGGTTTCCCTATCTCCTGGTCCATAGAGTCCACTTGTCCATGTGCTCAAGGCAGTCATCAAGACCCCTGGGATGTGCCAGCTTGACTCCTGGCGCACCCTCCTCGTCCCGTCTCTGAGCACGCTGTTTAGATCCCCACTAAGGAGCTGAAGACCTGCTTCCCTAACTTCCTGCTCCAAACGAAGACCACTTAAGCCCCAGAGATGGTAAAATGCCCTTTAATCCAACACTCACTTCCAAAGGGTCTCGGTGTAATTCATCTGGGGTCGTTTTCTGCTCCCACAGTTTTTATATAAACTTCCTGGTGTACAGCAGTGAGTCATCCTTGAAATTTTGAAGTGTTGTCGTAACCTCTTTTGAAAGGAAAATTACTAATATTCTTGGTAACACGCAGTAGAACGTTAAGCTCCCAAATGCTTATGTTATTTTTAATGTTGAGTGTCTGGAATAGCCATTTTAAATATTCATGGACATCAGTGTTTATTTTCTCTTAACTTTTTCTGAAATCTGTACACATTGAAGGTGTTTGTTTTATTTTGAATTTAATAGTTTTCAAATGGGAGTTTAAAAGATGCAATTTTCCTGTATAGGAACTTAAGGCCCACAGACGTATTTATATCTCAGCTAACAAAGCCGATTGGTTCAGGACTCTTCCTACTCCTCCTTCTGGCATTTAATGAAAACCCATTTCCATTTGTGAATTCTTAGGTAGAGACAGCTGTGGCGTTAAGGAGCTTGTCTATGAGGGAATGAAGGGAAAACGGATTTAGAACAGAGATACTGTCCTTGTGGGGAAGAGGGTGAGGAAGGGGAACTCCCTCCCTCGGTACCACAAGTGGTTGTCTTCTTGTCTGTCCCCACACATGGGAATTTAGTTCCAAGAATCCCATGAGTCACTCAGCTTTTTTAAAGCCATTCTGAACCCATCCCTCGCTTGGGAAAATGTTTGAGACCCTCCAGTAAGTCAGAGTTTTAAAACTTCATCTTTATTTCTTTTTGGACACTGGCAGTTTATGCCTGGTCACAAGGTATGAGTGTTGCTTACTGATAGCTGCACCTTTCTGGTCTGCTGTTTGTTCTGATATGTCCAGGCTTTATTTTGGCTAACCTCCTACAACAGTTTCATGTAAATTTTAAAGTGAGACCATGTCTACCTTCATCACTGACCCCACTCATGGGAGTAATGAACGTGCCAGAAATTTTCTTAGTGGAGTCAAAACAGACAGCAATGTGGCTTAGAAAGCAGCTAAAACCAGATGAAGACAGGCCCACTGAAGAAAAGAATCTGAGAACTTAATGTAACCTCAGCAGTAAATCTTTCCAAATGATGTCTGTCAGGATTAACAGTGGAAGTGACCGTGGGCGATCTTTGAAGCAGCCTTGGAAACCTGTTCCGCCCAGCCTGACAGTAAGGTCCACAGTCGTTACTGTGTAATGATAGCTCGGCATTTGTGTACTTTTAATTTGATGGAGTCTTAGCTACAAGATGGACTTGAGGAAGACAATTTGTAAGTTGCACGAGACTTTGTGTTTCGTTGTGCAACTGTGAGTTGTTTTCCTGGGGTCGCCCTTAAGGACAAGACCACTGTCATCTACTGGGCAGAGGCTATTTCTCAAGTAGTGGCTTTGTATTTTTTCTTTCTTTTTCTTTTTGCTGGACTGTTTGGTTTTCATGGCAGACCACTAAACATGTTTCCCTTGTGTGTCTCTCTGCCACCCGCCCCTCCCCCCACTGTCCCCAGGATGATGAGGATGACAATGCGGGCACAGAGATGAAGATCCTCCGGGGACACTGTGGACCAGTATACAGCACCAGGTTCCTTGCAGACAGCTCAGGGTTGCTCTCTTGTTCTGAAGACATGTCCATTAGGTACTGGGACCTCGGCAGTTTCACCAACACTGTGTTGTACCAAGGACATGCCTACCCTGTGTGGGACCTGGACATTAGCCCGTATAGCCTGTACTTTGCCAGCGGGTCCCATGACCGCACCGCAAGGCTGTGGTCATTTGATCGGACGTACCCGCTGAGGATATATGCCGGACACCTGGCAGATGTAGACTGTGTCAAATTCCACCCTAATTCAAACTACTTAGCCACGGGCTCGACCGACAAGACTGTCCGGCTGTGGAGCGCTCAACAGGGCAACTCAGTGAGGCTCTTCACGGGCCACCGTGGCCCTGTGCTCTCTCTCGCCTTCTCTCCCAACGGTAAGTACTTGGCATCAGCCGGCGAGGACCAGCGGCTGAAGCTATGGGACTTGGCCTCTGGGACCCTTTATAAAGAACTGAGGGGCCACACGGACAATATCACCAGCCTCACCTTCAGCCCGGACAGCAGCCTGATCGCGTCCGCGTCCATGGACAATTCCGTGCGCGTCTGGGACATCAGGAACACGCACTGCAGTGCACCTGCGGACGGCTCCTCGGGCGAACTCGTGGGCGTGTACACCGGGCAGATGAGCAACGTGCTGAGCGTGCAGTTCATGGCCTGCAACCTCCTTCTAGTGACTGGAATCACACAAGAGAATCAGGAACATTAAATTTTTTTTTTTAATCTTTTGTCGTAAGGGACTGGGGCAGTCGTGGAAAGCCTCCGGGCTGCCAGTCTTAGGACACATTGAGATCGAATCACTGACTGACTGTGAAAGACTCCCTGCTTCTCCCCCCCACCCCCTGCTCCCCCCAGCCCCGCCTCCATCCCATGCAAACATCCTGAGCTCGTCACCCCTTCGCTCGCTGTCCCCCCGCCCCCCCATAATGTCGAAGGACCGGAGGGGGAAGGTGCTGTGATTGGACGTGAGACGGAGAAGGAAGAGGCTCCAGAGGTCAGACTGCGAGTTCCCACAAAGATCCCGCCTGTGTCCTCGTGTGAGCACCTTTGTGTCTCTGTCTCATTTTCCCGTGCGTAAGAGATGCTGCTTACCTCGCCGCCGGGTGCTGCGTTTGGGTCCGAGGATGGTTGTAGGGCACCCTTACGAGGAGCGGTGCCACCTGCTCATGGCTGCTCCGTCGGCCGGTGCAGGGGGCTCTTTACTGGTGTAGGAAGGCAGGGCTGGGAACTAGGACGAGGGGCAGGGGTCATCCTGGCAAAAAGTCTCTCCTTTTCCGTAATTACAGAGAACCAGGATTTTTTATTATTATAATTATAATTATTATTATTATTGAGAAGAGGAAACCTAGCACTGGCAGAGGGGCCTTCTCTGCTCTCATCTTTCAGGTTTTACTCCTGGCACTGGCTGTGATACTTGGAATCTTGAGGTTCAGGGAATTCAGAGAATTGGGTAGCACAGTGTTTGGGGAGAAAGGGAAACTTTCTGGGTGATGGAAGGATCACTCCAGCTGACATGTCTAGAAGTGGGGCGGGTGGGGGGAGGGTTGGTTTGAGAAAGTCCTGGGCTCCCGCAGTGATGGTGGGAGAGGAAGAGGTTCCTCACGGCTGCACTTGTATGAACAGTTCTCTCCCCCGAAAGGACAGATGGTGGTAAAGAAATGAAAAGGATTGGAAGCGATAAGTCAAAAGATAGAATTAGAAGATGTGAAATTTCCAAATGCCCATTTATTTGGAGGTGCGAGGCTCTCTCAACGTCTTTTCCTCCTGCCATCATTGGCTCCCACCTCCTGCATTGCAATAGCGGTTTAACGAACACTTTGTGAAACAAATCGTAAGTACATATGCACGCATCCAAAACTGTGCTTTGAGGATAAAGCGAGTTCAAATTCATGGAAAAAAGGATTAAATATTTCTGTTTTCTGAAAAGAGTTATTTTGTATTTTGTTTTCTATTAAAATGTATTTAGTTTCCAAAAAAAGAAAAAAATAGTGTTGTCATCTCATTTAACCCGTGAGGACAGGCGGGTGTGTGGCCTCTCCTGGGGTGACGTGCAGCCCACCTCTCTTGGGGATAATAGCCAATCATGTCAGCCAGACTGGCCCCAACTCAGGGGCACTCCCACCTGTTCCTGTGTTCTGTTCGGCTTACTTTGAATTGTGATTCCTCTTGGCGTTCACAGGAATTATTGGTAACATTTACTACTGTTTATACATCCAAGATTGGCAGTTGCCAACAGGAGACAACATATATTTTACCATCCAGACTAATTTGGGAAGATCCCACTTCCAGTTTTCTTTAATGATCCCCATTATAAAATTTCTAAGGGGCTTAAGAACTCTGCTATGTAATTAAGTTAAACTATTTCTCAAACAATTCCAGATAAAAGATTCGTTCAAAAATTTAAATGATGCCAGAATTTTTTAAATGTACTGTGAAACAAAATTTCCTGGCAAGAACACCAAGGATTATGAGGAAATTAAAGGAAGACTCTAGAATTCTATGCAAAAAAAAAAAAAAAAAAACTTAGTTGAGCCTTAGATACTGATTAATAGGAGATGTTTCTCATTCATAAAAACTGATGTATTTGAAATATTGTAAGAAGGATCTGTTAGTGCCTCAGCCAGCTTTCCCTTTCACATAGTGTGCAGCGAAGAAGCCCAGATAGAATTCAAATGTGTTATCTACAATAAGTGAACTCTTAGGTTAAATTGTCTGGTATATTGCTAGAACCAATAAAATCCCTAAATTGGGCCGAATCATTCTCAGAAGTGAAAATACCACTGATCGTGGATGATTTGGAAAGGCTTTGTGTTTGTTTTTTAATGCAAATTTTTTTTTTTATTAAACACAAAAATGTATTAGGTTGCTCAGTCTTCAAATGACTGATCATGTATATACTTTGTCATTTGAATTCAGCCTCTTAATGTTCTTCACGTTTGGCCTCTTTTTTTGAACTAACTTTAGTGTGGGATAACTTGACTTTATAGAACGCCCCTCACAACGCTCCCAGAATCTTAGAACTATCATAAGGGATACATATGTGTGTTTATGGCCACAAGGATGCATAAGAACACACTCTTCAGGTTGCTGTCTTGCGTTTTATTTTCTCTTCAGAGCAAGTCTGTTAGGCGGACAGGGCTGGTGATACTACCATTTTGTAGATGAATTAGCCAAAGCCCAGAGAAGCTCTATTATCTATACACAACGTGGAATGGTCCCACAGCTTCAATGTGTTACGTAGAAGCTCTACATTCAGTATCCTCAAGTTCTAGCTGGAGGATACAGCCCTGATGATAGAAAAACCTTTTTTTATTTTTTATTTTTTTAAAGATTTATTTATTTATTTATTTATTTGACAGAGTTTGAGTGCAAGTAGGGGGAGTGGCAGGCAGAGGGAGAGAGAAGCAGACTCCACGCTAGCAGGAAGCCCGATGCAGGGCTCGATCCCAGGACTCTGGGATCATGACCTGAGCCAAAGGCAGACACTTAACTATGGAGCCATCAAGGCGCTCCAGAAAAACCTTTTTTTGGGGGGGGAGCAACAACCTCCAAAAAGGAAATATGAATATATCATATATATATATATATATATATATATATATATATATATATAGTGCTTATTATCTACCAGAAATCATTCCATGAGCTTTATGAAAATTAACTTTTTATCTCCATAACAACCCTGTGAGATAAATGCCATTTTTGTCTGCATTTTGAAGACGAGGATTCTAAGGCCCTGTTGGAGTAAGTCATTTTGCCAGAGGGTCACAGAGCTTGTAAACGATGAAGCCAGAACTCATAAACGATGAAGCCAGAATGTCCATCTGGGACGAGTGGCTCCAGAGTTCATGTCCTTCCCCAGGCTCTTGTCTCCCCTCATTCCCACAGTACCAGGTAAAGAGTGACCTGAGGTTACTAGTAACTAAAGGTTCCTGGCAATAGTTACAAGACTCATGCTTCCCTTTGCCAGATAAGTCAGCAGCATCTAGCAGGATCAGAACTGGCAGTGAGAACAAACTTAAACAATATATGATTAAAAGAAACTTGAAAATATTCAATTATTATGAACCACAATGATAAATCCCTGCAATGGTGCAGGAAAAAAAGCAAAAACAAAAACAAAACAGAAAAAACAAACCTCTTGAAATTCCGTAGGCTGATAGGCTCAGAAAAATCTGACTGTAATTTCAATGTAGCAGTACGCTGGCCAAAAGAAAGAGAACGTTGAGACAAAGGAAAGTAAGAAATAGGAATGAAATGGGAATCACTTTGAAATTTTTTTATATATTCAAGATCCAGCTTCTAAGGATAGCTGTGATTACTAGCTTTTCATTTGTTTTATTCATATATTAAAAATGTCTTGGTTGTATTAAAAAAAATCCATTGAATATGTAGGCTTATAATTTTGCTATTACCCAGATTGGTATTTAAATACATGGATTAAAAGATTAGTCTGTACTTCAACTTGTCTTTCAGTTGCATGTTTTAGAAAAGTGTCCGTTATATCTATGCCCAGCCCACAGCAAGGATTCATATTATTGACCCCTACATAGCAACCAAATGAGTCTGAAACTGCTTTATGGTAAACAGAAAATCTTCATTATAGAATTTGAGGAATCCAGATGTTCCTTGGCAGTTTGACCCATTGAAGGACAACTTAGATACTTTCCCGTGATTCTGAAATTCCTTAAAGAGATATCTTTATATTAACTATGTATCTGTTATGATCAGACATTGTGTCAGGGGGCAGAAATGCAAGAGTAAGCAAAACTGGTTTGACTTTATAGTTTAAAGAGGGTGGCAGATATCAATCAAGTAATACCGTAAATAAACATATAATTTCAAATAGTAGGGAGTGTTACACTGGGTGCAATGAAAGAATATGCCCAGGGATCTAATTTAGATGAAGCAGTCAAGGAAGGCCTCCCTGAAGAATTAGTAATGAAGCCAGGACCTGGAAGGCAAGCAGGACTTAGCCAGGCAGAGTTCAGGGAATAATGGTCCAGACCCCATCTGGGAAAGAACCTGGTACACTCAAGTCCACAGGGGCTGAAGCAATGTGAGTAAGGAACAACAGCATGACACAAGTTTGGATAATTGCAAGGGCTTTGGGCCCCTTCAGAAGTTTGGCTTTTATCCCAGGTGGGATGGAAGCTACTGATGGGTGTACAACAGGGAAGTGATCCAGTCTAAGTTCCACCTTAATAATATCCCTGGCTGCAAGAAGACATAGACACATTTGCAGTGGACTTGCACTTCAACAGGATAACAAGGCAACATTTACTGAACCCATCTGTGCCAAGCACTGCAGGACACAGCCAACCGATGGAAGCCAGCTACCATATTGTGGGCTGCCCTATGTGGAGTGGCCCCTCAGGCAATGAACCAAAAGCAGCCTCTAACCAACAACCTGCGCAGACCCACCAACCACCACACGAGGGAGCTCGGATGCAGATCCTGCCCCAGTTCAGCCTTCAGATAAGACTACAGCCTCCTGATCAACCTTGAGACAGAGGTATCCAACTAAGTCTGCCCACATTCTTAACTGACAGAAACTGTGAGATGTCAAATGTCGTTTTAGATCACTGAGGTTTGGGGTAATTTCTTGTGTAGAGTAGATAACTAGCCCATCAGTCCTACCCCATAATCCATTCTTTTAACTGCTGCGCTATAGAAAGCGAAATAATTACTGATTAAAATTGGGAGCTGTAAGGAATAGGGATTGACGGTATGAGAGTGAGCAGGGAGGCCAATTAACATCTTTGCAGTTGTCCAGGAGAGAGATGAGGATGGTGTGGACTAGAGTGGCCACAGTGGAAATGGAGAAAAGTTGACACATCCAATGAACATGTTAGAGGTGGGTTGGCAAGACTTCAGTGGGTTGTATGGGGAGCAAAGACAGGAATCATGGATGACCCACATGTTTCTGGCATGAGCAGTTTGGTGGATAAGGTTACCATTTATTGTGATGAAAATCCTGGAGGAGGAGGAGGTTTCTGGGCAAAGATCAAGAGTGCAGGTTGGGATCTCTGAAATGTGAGGTGCATATAAGAGAACCAAGTGACAATACCAGATAGGCATTTAGATAAACACACCTGGAGTTCAGAGCAGAGGTCTACCTTGACATGCTAGTTTCAGACTTAGATTCATTAGAGTGCTTTCTGCCACTAGGGACAAAAATCTGACTCCAAGTGGTTTAAAAATAAGGTATTTTATTGGCTCACATATCAGTGTAGAGGTCAGGTGGGTTTCACGGGCAACTCACTAAGGGCCCCACTTGTGTTTTGTAACTCCACTGTGCTCTCTTCTGCGGTTGGCTTCCTCACAGCCTGACTTTTCCCATTGGGAGAGGGCTACCAACAGCAGTGAAGGCCAGATTCCTCCCTCATTCATATCCAGTAGGAATGTGAGCTTACTGCCCATTCCTCGCTCTTAAGAGCAAGGAAAAAATGTCCAGAAGTTCCAGCAAATATCTCCAACTTGCATTAGACCAGCTAATCATTGACTCTTCCCCTGACAAAGGCAAGAGTCACTAGCATGTAGTTGGAATTTGAAGCCTTCCAAATGGACGTGATTACCAAGGACAAGAGCACAGCGTAAAAAGAGATGAGGGCTCACAACTAAACCGGTATGGGTCAGAAAGGAGAAGCCAACAAAGGAAGCAAAACAGGAGAGGGCGCTGTCCCAGAAGCCGAGAGAAGAAAGTACTTCAAAATAGGAGTGGTAGGGGAGTGGCTTTGGCTGGCTGCCCAGTGAACATGCGACTCTCTATCTCAGGACTGTAAGTTGGGGCCCCACACTGGGTGGAGAGATTGCTTAAAAATGAAATCTTTAAAAAAAAAAAAAAAGTCAACTGACCTGATGCTACCAAGAATTCAAATAAAGATTGGAGAGTATCCATGACATTATAGTAGGCAGGTGGCTAACA